CAGGTGTTTTTGTTCCATACACTTCCACTCTGAGAACTTTGTGAATATAATAGTTAACTGGCTGGAACCGAATGATCCGAGCCCTTGTCACTTCTGCCAGAAATTGTTTCACTATTTGATTCTGGCTGATCCAACCGCCGCTGAAAATCTATAGAAAAATTTTATTAGAAATGAACTGAAACTCAGTTTTCCTTCTCGAAATAGGATCAAAGATTCATGGACTTATATCAAAATTTAGCTCTCTCTCTCTCTCTCTCTCTCTCTCTAGATATAAAGTACACCACTTTTGTAACCTTTTGTCTCTTAAGTGATATTTCGTTGAGGAATGCAGAAAATGTCGCAACTAAAGCATGGATGGGTGTATCAATGTTTTGTTCGTGTTATGTTAAAATTTCAAAAGAATTAACGCATTTTACTGTTTTTTATTCACTTTTCAAACGTGAAATGTAACCTTTGTGGCACCCGTTGGGGTAAGGGCGCATTTTAAAGGGTAATTGGCGTATTCTATGGCAACTAATGGATAGATCGATTGCTAATACACACCACTAAGTTCTCTCAACTACCCTCACAGATATCAAACTAGTTTTCTGAGCGTTTGAAAAAATCAGGTAAATGTGTACGCCCTTTCATCCGTGGTCAAGATTGGCAATTCAATTTAAGCCCTTGAAATGCACTTTTGAACTTGACAAGTCCACTATGACTATGTTATTCAACATTTCCTGCTAAAATTTTTGTGACATATAGTTCCACGTCAATTGTTTATGCTTACAAAGTTTCAGCTTTTAAGTTTCAAGCTTTAGCTTGTTTTCGTTATCCTTGGCAACCATTTAACCAACATACACCCTTGACTGTACTGCGGGTTACAAGAGTGCCACTTTCGCTAGATTTTTCTCAAAGGGAAATTCCCATTTAAAAGCGTCGAAATTAAATAAACTCTGGTACAAACAATCGCCGTCTTTGTGCTTACTGTTACATTTATTTTAAGTTGGTGGATTTAATTTTCTAGTGCTGGGATCAACCAAGTTGATCAATTAAAAATTTAATACAAACCACAGTTAAACCATACGAGTATATACACTTTATTAAGTAGACAGTACGTGTCAAAATTAAATTTTCACCGATGCTTTTGAACGTGAGAACCTTAAGAAATGTATAAATTGTTATTTCTTTCATGAAGATTGTGTTTTTCATAGACTGATGTATTATATTCCTCCCACGGTCCCCATTTATACCGTCCGTTAAATTGTGTTCCTTCTTTTTCGGTCGTTTGGGATATCGCGTTATAACGGAAAGGAAAATATCAAGCTGGCTAATAGCAAATTAACCTCGCTAATTTGAAAAGGAATAGATGGGCAATCCTTAAATGGTAGGGAAAAAATCGTGGTTTTAAGCGACTTCCATGTAGTATGATAGTAAGGTTTCCAGCCTGTATAGTTTCGGAAACCTTTTTTTTCTCCCCCATTACCACGTGGATCCGCCAACCTCCCCCATTTTAGGTGACTTTATTTCGC